CCAGTGGGGGCAGCTATGGGAGCGGCTATGGGAGGGTGCCAATGTGGAAGGGGGGCATAAAGATGACTAATATATTCTATATGAAATACACAAAAATTCAAATTCAATAAAAAATTCACAAAAATTATATTGAATCAAGAATTCCATACAATGTATTTTGGTCATATTCAGACCTCCTCCTCCTCCCTCTCCACCCCACCTTACTAACCCCCTCCCCCACTTCATGTCCTATATTATTATTTGTCTTTTTAAAATGTCTATCTAGTCTAATCTATGTTTCCTAATTGCTCTTGGGTGTGGATCTATCCCTTGGAATCTGGTCAACCTACCAGGCATAACACCAGTAAGGAAAACCAACTCTCCCTCTCCAAGCATCTATCAATTTCCAATAGATTTCAGCTAGGTTTGGAGCTTCCTACCCACCTCCCATCTATGAAGAGCCTTTATGGGGCTTGGGTTTACACCGATCTTGTGCACGATGTCATTAAGTGCTATGGGTTCATATGTGCAACTACCTTGTGATGTCAAGACAACACAGGTTCCTTGTACTTATCTACTACCTCTGACTCTTACAATTTTTTTTGCCTCCTCTACTGCAGTGATTCTTGAGCCTTGGGAGGAAAGGGTGTAATATAGGTGTCCTAGGTGTCCCATTCAGGGTTGAGCGTTCTGTCATGTCTTATCCTTCATATGTTGACCAGTTGTGGGCCTCTATGTTAATAGCTGTATACTGCAAGGTTGAACCTTCTTTTGTAAGAGTTGAGAGCTGCACTAATCTATGAGTATAACAATAAGTCGGTATTGGTCAGTTTAATACTATGTTTGTTTAGCAGAATGATAGTAGCAGGTTCTTCCCTATGGCCTATGACCTGTCTAGCACCATGTTCTTGGCCCTGATAATAGTATCAGAATGGATTCTAGCTTGTGAAGCAGGCCTTAAATCCAATCAGAAGGTGGTTGGTTACTCCTGTAACATTTGTACCACTATTGCAATAGTGGGCCTATTTTAGGCCAGTTGTTATTGTAGTTCTCAAGGTTCACAGCTGGTAAGGCTGAAAATTACATTTATATGCCAGTAACATGCATAGTACCTTCTAGTACTATAGCAGCTAGCCAGCAGAGAAAGTAGGGGATACACTAGAACTTATAGGCACAGGAAAGGACAGTACCAGCACAAGGTAGGTACCAGCTTTATTTTTCCTTATTTGTTCTGTGACTCAAGTGTGTAGTGTTTTCAACAATAGGGTCTTACTATCAAGTTCTGGTGGGTAACCAAGTGCAATGGCAATAGCCAGTTTTCTTTGAGGGTCTATGAGATCTTTCTGATCAACAATTCCAAAAGAGGGAGTCCATTCCTGGAATTGGGCTTTTCACTTGTTAGCCTATGGTGTCTAGTAGGGCCACTGAATCTCTGCTTTAGGGTAACTACTTATAAGTTATTTTTATATTGTATATGTATATATTGAAAGAAACTTCTATTGCAGGTTTCCCATATAACTGTCAAAATGCATTTAGTGTTAATTATCCCTCCTCTTACTCCTTCTTCTGCCCTACCCTCCCATTCCCCACCCCATTAAACCTTTGCTATCCATTATTTCCCTTTTCCATTTATATCACTGTATTCGATCTCCCTTCCCATGAACCACTCTGTAAAGACCCCTTATGAATTTCCTGGTTTCCAAGAATTTTCCAATCGAAACACAGTAATCTCAAGATTCAAATCTAGCATCCACTTATGAGAGAGAACATGCAATGTTTATCTTTCTGAGTCTGGGTTACCTCACTCAGGATGGTCGTTTTCAGTTCCATCCATTTACTTCTGAATTTCATAATTTCATTTCTTAAAATATTTATTAAAAAATATTTTTATTGACTTTTTGTGCATTTCATACAACAGTTCCTAATCAATTTTAGACACCCTCCCCCATCTATGCCCCCCATACTCCAACCCCCACTGGACCTCATGCATTCTGTTATATAGATCTCTAGATAGGCTGACGAGACTCCAGTGGATGAACTGTACCCAAGGACATCTGGGTAAAAATGCTTAACCAGATAGGACTTAACTCACATGAGCAAGCTTCCAGTGCCCTGAAAGCCTCTGTTTCCCTATGTTAATGGACCAACCCTGGCTCTTACAATCTTTCCACCCCTCTTCTGCAATGGTTCCTGAGTCATGGGTGGGTGAGGTTTAATATAGGAGTCCTATGCAGGGACACACACTCTGCAATCTCTTATTCTCTAAAACTGGACATTTGAATCTTGTGTTCATTTGTTTTGAAATTATTGTTTGAAATTACTGCCAGGGAATAGCCCGAAGTGAAAGCTTAAGATCTTGGGTCTTTTCTGAATCTGTGTTTTCCCTGGGTGCAGTGACTTTCTACTGAATTCTCTTATTACATTATTACTTTGACATGTTCCAATCCATAGATATCTGGGTCTTAAATGGGAAAAATGGAAGCGAGGGGGGGAGGATACTGTTGTTTTAAGCTCCTTGGAAGTTTCTTCAGTTGGTGACGATTGAAACAATGGTGGCTAGCCTCAATGACAGCCAAGTTTCTCCAGGAAGCTGCAAGCTTTTTTAAAAAATGTATATTTTTTATTGAGTTTTGTTCATTTCATATAATAGATCTTTATCAAATTTAGAGCCCCTCCCACTGGATTTCATGCATTCTGTCATATATGTTAAGGTCTATCTGGTCAAGCATTTGTACCCAGATGTCCCTTGGTACAAGTTCATCCACTGGAATCTAGTCAGCCCATCTAGAGTCACTCCCTTAGAAGATCAACTATCCATCACCCCAGTTGCCAATAGTTTTTGGCTAAGGTTGAGGGTCTGCTGTCCATTTCCCCAGTGCCAAGCTGGGTTTTTGTCTGAGTCAGTATGGGTCTTGTGCATGCTGTCATCATTTCTGCAAGTTCATATGGAGCTTTATATTTACAGACAAGTATACTGTACAGCACTCATCATAGAAGCTTCTTTTTGCAACAGATGAAGGCTATTAGAGTTCCACAATTGGTCATACAGAGAATATATGACTGAGAGACACCCAGCCCTATGTGACACCTCTACAGTGGAACCTCTGCACCTAAGGCTCATGGAACATAGTGGAACAGGGGGTAGAGAGAAGCTTCAAGCTTTTAAGCTAACTCCAGAGTTTCACAAGAGTTTCTTTATACAGTTTCTGCTGCCTTAATTGTTCCTTCGGTGAAGGGATGAATTCCCAGTGCTTCCCACTTCTCTAGCTTTCCTGACATCACTTTCATTTTATCTGTTAAAGTTCTTTCTTTGCTGTGGTAAGAGGAACCAAGGGAGGAAGTGTTTGTCACTCTCAGTGCTTTCAAGAGCCTACAGAATGTTCCCTATATCTGAGTCCCATGTCACTCAGGCAAGCCCTTTAAAAAAGTAGAAAATGGTAACATTTAGGTCATCTGGCAACCATGTTGCCATGTTCTAATGTTCTTGGACTTTCTTTTCCCAGGTGCTAGTCTTTTGCCTTTTAACAGCATGTGGACTGCAATTCAGACAGCAAATAGAAAGCAGCTTTCACCTGATGCTTGTGTGGTGGTTAATCTTCACTGTTGTTTTGATTGGATTTAGAAGCACCGAAGAGATTGAGGCACTCTGGGTAATGTCTCTGAGAGTGTTTCTAGGGAGGATTAACTATGGGGAAAAAGTTTGCCCTCAGTATGGGCGGCACTATCCCAAGGGCTGGGGGCCTAAACTGGATTAAAGGAGAAAAGAAAAATAGCCAACTGAGTGCTGCTTCTTGGCTTGTGATATAAGTAAGGTGCCTGGTCTATCAAGCCCTCCCTGCCGTAATGGACAGACACCTCTAAATCTTCCTTACCATAAGTTGTTTCCATCAGGAATTTTGTCACAGTGATGCAAAAAGCAACAAACCTTGGGAGTGTTCCCTTGTAGAGTGCACTCAGAACAAACTCCAGGAGTTACAGGGGCTTCCTTCAGGTCCACAGAGACCATCAGTTTGAGAACTTGCCCACATCTAGTATCTTAGAGTAGAATGTGTAGCTCTGTCTTATTTTTGACAAGGACCTTCTACTTTGTCCCTCAAAAGCAGTGGTTTTATGGGGTTCTTTTGTTGCATCTCTAGTACATCTGTGTTCTATACATATTGACTTAATGCACTGGATGGGGCATTTACATAGGTTCCCTCTAGGAATTTATGACTAGGCCCTCACTTGAACCTAACAAATATATACATACAAATACAGGTTAGAACTTTTATAAACATTGTATGTTAATAAATCATTAGACCAGTGATTATCAAGCTTTGTTACTCCACAGAATCACCTAATGAACTGTCCCCCAAATGATTTCTATGCTCCACCCACAGATACTGTTTTTATAAGTCCAGGCAGAAGCCAGGATCCTGTTTTCAAAAGTTACTCAGGCAATTCTGATATGCAGCCAGAGTGCATAACCACAGTTCTTCCAGTACCTGAGAAAATTTGGTAAAGTGTTTGGGGCTAAGATGGAGCTCAAGGGTACAGAAGCATATGGAAGGCCGGAGTTCCAATTCCAACACTGCAGCAAATGAGTGAACCAATACATGAATGAGGGAAGGGAGTGTGTGGGTTCTTTTTTCTTTTTTGCAAGACTGTCTTAGTATTGTATACAGTTAAGAACTAGAGTTGGAGTTTACAGACTGGGGCTCAATTCCACCATATCCAATTACTGGCTTTTGTAGACAAATGGCCTAATCTTTCGGCGTTTCAGTTCCCTGATCGTAAAACGGGGGGCATAGGGTTACTATGAGACTTTATCAGGCCGCTTATTTTGGTGTACAAGCATGCCACTAGATTCTTGGCAAACCGGAATGCTTCTTGGTCCTTCATTCAAGGGAAGGATACCAAGGCCATCACAAAATTACTTCAGATTTGCCTGGCTCTCTAGGTTGCGGTAGCTTCGCGCACATCCACCAGGGGGCGCTCGGCCACCCGAGCTCCCGAGCCAACCACGGCGCCCCCCGCGCGTGCTCACTGGGAGCCGCGCCGCGAAACTGCGCCGCGACCGTCGCCGCTTTCCGCGCGGGCTCCTAAACTCAACCTCTGGGCGGAGCAGCGACGCCTTAGCCGCGATACCCTCCCCGCAGCCTGGGGGTCTGCGGTGCGCTCCCCCGTCCCTGGCTGTCCTGGGCGGCCGGCGTGAGCGTCCGCAGCACGGGTGTTTGCAGTCCAAGGCCCGGGCCTGCCAGACGCCACCCGGATGCTGCGCTGGCTGATCGGGGGAGGCCGCGAGCCGCAGGGGCTGGCCGAGGTAAACCCGGGCGGGCTAGCCGGCGGCGGGTCGGCGCACGGCTCGCGGGGCCCGGGGCCCGGGGCGGAGGCGGGGCCTGCGGGGAGCACGCGCGTTGGCGGGGCCGCGCTCTCGGCCGCCGCATCCGGGCTGCTGTGGCTTTGTCGGGTCCCGCGGGGCTGACTGCAGCTCTCCGCCTTTGGTCTGTTTGAATTGACAGCTCTTCCCAACAACTGGCTGGCGTGTGCTTAAGGAATATAGAATTAATTTAGATCCTTTCCAAGAACGAAAAAAAAAAAAATTCTTTAGGCCAAGTTTGCTTCCTACTCAAACTGATTTTCTGTTTCTAGTCCCATTGGCAAATGTATTTCATGGCCCCGAGCAACTGAATAAAACACGTAACATTTACATTTGAAACAGTAAAACACTTTTGCCACCTTAAAAATGCTGACGTCTGAAGTTGGTTTCATTTACCACACAAAACAATTTGAATTACATTTTATTCCTCGTAGGAAGTATTTTAAAATTAGGATTGTTTGAGCAACTTCTCAGTTTTAACTTCCTCATAGCTTTGTGATTGACGTCTCATTTAAAAAAATCACTCATTTCAGATGTGTCTGAAATCCTTCAGGTTATGAAAAAATTGTGGATGACCGAGTGGCCATATAATGTGTATGTGACAATTCGAAATAACCTAATTATTTTGGTTAATCTTACAGCTTGATCAACTGTCTGGGCCACACCTGCTAAGCTTTCACGTGTGGGATGCAGTTTATACCGTTTTCCAATTTTTCACTTTTTCCATCTGAGCCTCTGATACATGTAAAATTGTTACTATGGGATGGACTTTTAAACATGTTAATTGTTGCATTTTCATGTAAAAGTCCTTCGGTTGTCTAACTGCTTTGAATGTGTGCATTATCAGAACCTGTGATTTCCCTCATTTATGCAAGAATGTTACCTTCTAGTTTTAGTGATTCCCAATCCTGAGTAATTTTGGCCTGCACAGGGTATTTGAACATGTCTGCTGACATGTTTCATAGCCATGGGTTAAGGGTGATGGGACTGTGTGTATTTTCTCTTGACTTCTAGTGTTAGAGACCTAGGATGCTGCTGAGATTCTAATAGGCACAAGAGAGTCCTCAAAAAGAATTTATCTAGTCCAAAATGTCAGTAGTGTCAAATTTGAGAAACCTTGGCTTGGAGGTTAAAAACAGGTTGTGTTTTTTATTTTTATGATGATGTTGTACAGGGTTTAATTCCAGAAATAGGGTTAATAAGACTTACCTTGCAGATTAAGTTATATGATATATTATGTCCTGAGCACAGGGCTAGACACACAGCCTGTATATGTTAGAATTATCTTTATCAGTACTGTTGCCCAGAGTTGAACTCCTGAGTCTGAATGATTTCATTACTCTCTATTCAAGTAGCAGACATCTTCTGAGTGCTTGCAGTGGGCTATGTGAGCCTGTGTTTTATGCCTTTAATTTTCAGTTTTGTTTCCAACAAGGTTTTTTTTTTTTTTTTTTTTTTTTTTTACATTTATTGTGTGTGTGTACACGCATATGTGTTACACATGCTCGTGTCATGGTGCATGTGTGGAGGACAGAACACAACTCACAGGAGTCTGTTTTCTCCTTTTCTCCTTTACCATGTGGATCCCAGGGGTGGTACTCAGATCATTAGGCTTGGAGGCAAAGTCCTTTACCTGCTGAGCCATCTCACTGGCCTCCAACACATTTTCACTGAGAAACACTGTTAAACAACTGAGTTGGGTTGGCCCGCTAATTTTTAAAACCAGGCTTATTGAGATTCAGCAAGAGAAATTTCACTCTTTACAAGTTTATTGTTATTTGAAACTACTAAAATTTATGGTAAGAGAAGTGCTTCCATATAGAGGTGGCAGGCTGTCCCCTTGATAGTGTAGGAAGACTTCACGTTAGAATATAATGTCTTCTCACTTTTCCAGTCTTGTGTTTTTAAATGGATACTGTGCGATTATTTTTAAAAAATCATTGAGTCATTTTATCTATCTTTCTCTATTTGTTTTGTATTTTAATTACCAGAAATCTGCTTTGCAGACCATAGGTGAGGATCAGACTCAGAACCCCTATACTGAGCTGCTGGTACTGAAAGCTCATCATGACATCGTACGGTTTCTGGTGCAGTTAGATGAATACAGGTAAGAGACTCTGGTTCAATTGACTGCTGTTTAGAAAGATGTTTTAGATAATTTTATGTTAAAAACAACTTCGAAATTCATCTTTTCTAAGAAAATTTCAAAATCCTGATCATTAGTAATTGGAGAAATACAACCAATTAAAAGATGTAACGGTTAGTTAAAAAAAAAGTTGAGATGAACTGTACCTTGATGAAATTGTATGTCTAAATCTTAGCTCAGGGTCAACATGTCATATCTGGCGATTTGTGGATTATATTTGCTTGCTCTCATCCTTTCTGAAAAAAAGTCATGTGTTTTTAGAAATACTCCTACTAGTTTAGCAGAAACCAGTTACTTTAAAATTTTCATGGGTGTTACAGCTGTGCAATAAGGTGAGCTTGACTATGAAAACCAAATATGGTAAATGTTTAAATATTAGGTACCTGCTAGGAATATGCTATTTTTACTGGAAGGCAAAGTGAGGAGTGAATCTGAATGTAAACATACATTATTCTTTACTTCCTTGGTAATACTGTGTCTAATGTGTCTGCAGATAGAGATGAAGGTGTCCAGGTCTGAGGGCCCTAAACTTAGCTCATTGCTGATCTTTGTACTTGTTAGTTAAACCCTTATCCAGCTTTGGTTACATAACTGATGGTGTAAGGTCTTAATATTTGTCTTCTGATCTGGACTGTAAGCTTCTAGAGTCCGGACTCTGTTCTTATTTACCACAGTATTCTTAGTGTCTAGCACTGTGATGTGTGTGTACCATGTAGTTAATAGTTGTTGAGTGAGTGAATGACTCCCCAGATTTCTAAGTGCACAGGTGGTGTCTCACTCAATCCCCACTCCGGTTCTGCTCTTGCCCACTTCTTCATTGTCGTCTCTAGTTTTCTCTGTTCCCTAGCAAAGGGAACACTTTTCACTTGTTGAGCTTGTGACTGACTGCTGCTATGGATATTCTAACTTTGCTACTTCTGCTGTCTGATGACCATGTCTTCTTGTGACTTTTTAATTTTTTAAAATTATGTACAGTTTAATTCTGACCCAGACAGAGTGAGATCAGATTCTACAGGTAGACACAGTCCCCAGCATTCCCCTTACTCAGACACTAGCCTTCATCATTGTCCACATTGCTCATCAGCTTGCTACAAGTTCCAGCCGCCTCTTCAGGTTTGATAATTCATTGGAAGGACTCAGAAAAGCATTATACTAATGATTATAGTTTGTTATAAATTAGATAGATCAAGACCTGCTAGATAGAGATAGATAGGGAGAGGTCTCGGAGAGTCCCAAATGCAAAGCCTCCATGTCTTCAGGACATGCCTTCCGGACACATTAGTGTGTATCCCCAATGAGGGAGCCCACTTGAATGGGGGATGTACATGGTCTTTACAGTATTGTGATAGGCATGTTTGTATAATGAATCATCAGCTACAATTATTTCAAAACTTCCAACCCTTTCCTAAGAAGTTGGAAGGTCAGTCTCGTGTTCTGTGACAGTATATGAAACCCAAATTTTCTCATGGTTCATCTCTGGCTTGGCCTATCCCCATTCTCAAAACATCAAGGAGCCTACTGTGCGACATCCATTAGCATAAACACTGATCTAAGAGACCCACCAGTGAATACTGAAGATACTTCTATCGCTTCAGAAATTGGAGGGGTTCTTCTTGGAACCAAGGGCAAAGGCCAGCAAAATATACATTGTGTCTCAACTTTTGCTTGAAAAGATTTGCCTCTTATATATGTTACTAACCTGATAGCTCTATTTATTTTCTTGTTGTGATGGAAAACAACCAGATCACAGTATGTTAAACATGGCATGATAATCTTCAGGATTTTTGGTAATATTTAGCTTTGCTGTCTTTAGAAACATAGCATTTATTTAAATGGCCATTTATGTGGGAAACTGAACATTTCTGCAAAGGTAGGATTTTGGCTACCTGAAGGTTTTCTGTACCACATTTTATCCTAGTAAGTTGTTAGGTTAAAAACATCTAGATAATTTCTTATAATCACTAGTATATGAGGTCTTAAGAATTCTAAAATCATTTTTTAGAGTTAATAAATATAAAGCATACTTTCAGAATCCAGTCTTTAAAATTTAAGATTGTTAAGATTCCATATTCATGCTGTCTGTCCTCTGTGATATTTCCTCTTGGCTCTTAACTGCACAGTTAGAAGAAAAATTTGAAGAAAAGGTCAAATTGTAGAGGTGAGGTCATTGAACAAATGCTGACAGATACTTTACTATGTTTTCCCACAGTGCTCATGTATACTTGTTATTTAATGGCACAGTAAATAGTCTGTAAACAGCAAAAAGCTGTAGATGATTATATTAATTACTTATTGCTCTGCCAAAGCATCACCCCAGACTCAATGGTTTAAAGCAAAGCAACCACCATGTACTTAGTTTTAGCTTATTTTTCCATAGGATGGCAGTTTGGGTTAGACTTTGCTGGCTGAGTCTTTTCATCTGTGACTTTGAATCAGGTGATACTGGCTGGGTACATGTGTGTGTTTGTGTCAACTGGTAGATTGGCTAAGGTTAGATTGGTGGGGCTTGGCATATTCTCAGTGGTCCTAGCTAAGGTGATTGGTTGCCCCTCCATATGGTGCTTGTTCACATAGTGATTGTGGAGTTGTAATACCGGCAGAAGGGCACGTCCCAAAGACCCTTCTGATGTCTCTGCTTGTACCATGCTTTCTGCTGTTTCATTGGTAAATGACTTAGGAGCAGGCACAAATTGTCTAAGTAGGTAAATGAATTCTATCTCTTGATGGGAAGAACAATGAAAGCCTATTGTGAATGGTGATTATAGGTGGAGGCATTTTGTGGTCATGTTGCTGTCTACCACAGTGAACTGGAAAGCTTAGAATAGACAAAGAAGCCAGCCTTTTGCCTTTGACAGTATATTGGTGATAGAACCTCATGAATCACATTGAATTCTTTGTAATCAGTCATCACTGTATCAAAATGTATATGTAATTAGAAAAATTTCAGTTGCAGACCTGCCTTTAGAACATTTAATTCATGTTTTGTTTTAAACTTTAATCCTGTAGCAAAAAAGAGTCATTCTTAGAAATAAGATATGACAAACATAAGAAAGTCTGTGAACTACAGTATTAGGAAAATAATTAAAAGCCCAATAGTTTTACTGTTAAAATTTGGTGGTTTTTTTTTTTCCTTTAGGGGAGGAGTCTTGTTTTGTTTTTATCCTGGCGCTGAGGATTGAACCCAAGGCCTCATGCATTCCAGACAAATGCTGTACCAACTGAGCTGTATTTCCAGCCCTTAAAGCTTTTTAAATTACCAAATAATAATTGTGCATGTTGATGGAATGTTTTCACTTTTAATAATTTGATTTAGAATTATCTTTATTGAGCCTGTACATAATTAATGCATTGTCAAATTCCAGAAATATGCATCTAGTTTTTAAGCAAATTTTATATCATTATACTTTTGTACTTATTTATTTTGTAGTTTTTTTAGGCATTACATTCTGGTTGGTCAGCTGTTATAATCCAGATTTCACGCTTCAGGTCTTTAGATAATATCATCTGATTGAAAATTTTGCAGAAGGATTTTCTTGTTTTCTTGGTGGCTCAGCTAAAATCAGTGAGTGGAAAATTTTCTCAGATTGGTTTTGAAGATACCAAATAAATCCTGTATAACCTAACAGACAGCTGCCTTTTCTTTTCTTCTTTAGTAGTTTTTGAACATGAAGTGAGGGTCATATTGATTGGGAGATCACTAAAGAAGGCTAAGCCTCAGCAAGAGTCTTCCAAAAAATGGACTGCGCTAAAATTGCATGTAATACTCTAGCATTTGACACATTAAACTAAACTGAGTTCATAACACATTTTAAGAATAGTTTTCTCTGTTGCTCATTTGACCATTCCTTGCTCCTCCAGGAAACAGACAAGGTTATGTAGGATGGTGATCATGACTGGAAAAGAATCAGATGACCCATGAAGTGCCAGACTGCAGAAAAAAAAAAGTGCCTCTAGGATGGCTGGTGAAGCTGCTGCTTATGACAGGTGATAGGCCACTTAGAATGTCAGTTGATAGGCCACTTTTGCACAAACAGTATGCTCCATCTTTAAGAAGTCACACAAAAAAGGTATTCTTAAGCTAAGATTATTCCTTCTCATATGCACACATTCAGAGAATAGAGATCATAATCAGGATGGCTCAGAGAGCTAGGCATAGTGGCACTTACCTATACTTCTAGTATTAAGGTTGCTGAGGCAGGAGGATCACAAGTTTGAAGCCACCTGGACTACATAGTTAGTTATAGGCTACAGCATAATACCCTGACTCAGAAAAACAAATTTTAGAATTGTACTGAAAGTCATAGGCAGTGCAGTAAAATCAAAATGGCTGATCACCCTAATTCCAGGGTTCTAATAGAAATAATACTATAATAGAGTGAAGTATACAAATTGTTTCAGAGAAAAAGGAGAAGGGACAAAGAGAATTGGATAGAGGAGCTGTCTGGACTCTGATGAGATGTGACCTAGTAGCCCCTGGGGAGCTCTGGAGGAAGGACTGCATACTAGGGGAGTTCCCTAGGTGGAAATAACTAGGGTTTATACCACTCACTGTGCCTGGTCACTTGCTGAGCACTGACTAAGTAGTATAGGCCCATAGCTTCTAGCTTCTTGCTTTCTTCCTAGAGACTTAGGACCAGCTGAGCTGGTATGAATTTGAAATGGACTCTGAAGTCCACAGCTGGAGGCAGTCAGACAACATATCCCTCATCACTGAGCACTTAGTCCCCTCTTGAAGTCTAGAAGGCATATATTTGGATTTGTTATACTTTCTGTGTTGTATGTTAGGTAATTTAATTTTAAATTGCATAAATTCATTCATGTGGGCCATGGCAAAGTCACTTTGGGGCAGCTTTTAAAGAAGCTATATCAGGAAAAAGAATCCTTGACACAAGTTCCAGTAGCCAAAATATAAATAATTTAACAGACTTTGTGGCATTTTTTGAAGTTTATGCTTTCCAGTA